CCTATATAAAAGCTTTTATTTTTAATAGCAATCGAACATCGGCAGGCAAGCGCATTTTCCGAGCGTATTTCCGCCTTTAAGAAACCGTCTCTGTTGCTGCAAAAAGTGGTCGAAAATTCTTCTTTGGACTTCTCGACTAGAATTTTTTCATTTGCTCTAAATCATTATTAAAACATAATGGCTAACCCTTCTCTTTATAATAAAGCTAAATTTTTAGGTCACTAAGTTATATGCATTTTAGTTCTTCTTGAAAACCAGGTATCTAAAAGAAAACACCCTTTATTTACCGCGTTTTGCGTTTTCTTAGATTTCTATGTTCACCGTTCGCACGAAAGTTGGTTTTACGGGCCCCATTATTTAATCGTCCAGGGACCGTCAACTCAGCAGCATTCCGTAAAACTTTTTAACAACAACCAAAGTATTTAAAAGGCATTCATCTATTAAGTCGTGTAGCGAAGTTGTTGACGAACTGAACATATAAATTCTAAGACAAGAAAAAGAAGGTTAGGAACTCCGCTAAATAACTATAATGTGGTCCACTATAAATGTGAATATGAATATTATGCCTTGAAAAGGTTGAGTTTCCTTCTAACAATCGCTCTAGGGATGTGGGCCTTAAGAGAACAAGAAAATATTTTTATATATTTATTTTATGCCTCTTGTACGTCGTCAGATACAAGTTCCAACGACAAAACTCAAACAATCAACCATATTAAGGGACGATTATAAACAGTAGCTATCGCTAAAGCATCCTGTCGACCTTTCAAACAGGCCTAGTAATAACGGCTACTGATCGTAAAATCAAGTTTACGTCTCTTGGGACTTATTATGTTCTTTCATGTAGCATGTGACTAAAACATATGTGTTAGTTACATGAGTATTTGAACTGCAGTTGCACCTATGAGTGTGCTATGAATGCACCCTGTATGTATGTGGGAATGTACAACAAAGCATTGATGGCTTACTAAATATAAAGCCAGCAAGTCTGCGCTGGAAAAGTAGCTGGAAGCGTAGAGCAGAAAGAAAATCCCAAGTCATGCGCTCGCAGCTAAATGCCACAGCAAAGACTGGCCAAGGGCGTGCGTGTTGCACGTTGCATGTATGTGCATGTGTGCGTGCGTGCGCTGCGAGTCACGCTGCTGTGCATACGCAACAATAACAAATAGCAAAATTGAAATGGTTGTGACAAAAATAACCACAGCAACGACGTCATCAACGGCAAACGCACAAAGCCACGCAAGCGCATCTATATGTTTGTATGAGTGCGCGCAATGCATTTGCTTTTTGTTTCTGGCTTTTGCTTTTTCTTTTTTGCATTTGTGTTAGCTTTGCATTTTTCGCGCCAACGCAAGAAATGTTGCGACTAGTGAACGGCCAGGCCAACCGGTCCAAAGGCCGGCCGGTTGCTTGGCTGCTTGACTAGTTTTGGCTGAATGACCGCAGTGAAGACGACGGCAGCTGCAGCGCCGACCACTGCCTGCTGCCAATCAGCCAACCAACCAGCCAAGCAGTCAGCTAGCCGGCCAACCGACCAACTAGTCAGTCAGACAGCCGACTGGCAGTCATCAGACAACGCGCCACTCGCATTCGATTCTGATAATGAAGCTGAAATGCACACTTTTACATTTCCTCGTAAACGATTAACGACCTACTGCGACGGCCAGCCGAGCAGGCGAACGTGTGTGCATACGGCTGACTGGCCGGTCGTTGGGTTGTAACGTCCATAAGTTTGGCGCAAGACGACGATAACGTGCCGACCTAGCAGCTTTCTTGGAATATACCGAAAATTATTGCATTAATGCTAAGAGTACTGCAGCAACACGCTTGGCTGGTATTGCCTGAGTGCATAAGCGTACGCACGCAGGTAGTCGTCGACAAACACCAACGCATTTGAGCACGCGCCAATGGTCATTCGTAGGCCATCCAGTTGACCAGACAAACATTGGTTGGTTGGCCACAGCCAGCTAGTTGGCTGACTGGCTGGCTATTCGCATTATGCTTGCAGTCAGCCCACATGCGTCTGGACTTACCTGTATCGCCTCCCTTCCTACGCGCTCTCCTCCAACCGCGTGCGCGTCCGTCCGCCGCGGCTAAGCATGTCCGTTTGCTGTCTGTTGTCTGTTCGCCTCCTCATTTTGCTTGCATTGCGAACGCTTGGTTTATGGCATTCCAAAAATGTTGCCGGCCGCCAATGAGCGCACTTTTGCCTCACGTTGTTGCTATTTTTAACTTGGTTGTTTCAAGCGCATGCATACCAGCGCACACACTCTCATACAAACAAACAGACGTGGTAATATATTGTACATATGTACGCCTATACTGAATGCATACTTGTTATGATTCAGACTTTGGATTTTCGATTTTCTTTTTCGGATTTGTTGTTTTTATTTTAGACATTTTACTGCTTTCGCGTTTCTTTCACTGGCTCTGCGCGGCTGCCACCGTCAAATTGCATTCGCAACGCCAACCTGTGGTATTTGTTTAATAACAGATACGTGTGTATGTGCTTAAATATGTCTGTGGATTTGTATTTACGAATATTTTATTCCAGCATTTTCCGAATCGCGTTTATCGGTCAATTAAAATTCTTGAAAAAAAAAATAAAAGTTAAATTTCCTTATTGTGAAATTTTTTCGTATCGTGTTTTAATGGAAAACACGTTCAGGGAATTTATAAAACCTTTCCAATATTATGTTGGACTAGTATTACAGCCAAATTTATTCATTTGATGTAGCTGCCAGCTCGGACATCGAATTAAGCCCTTTTAGAAGCACGAAAATGGTCCTTGGTCTGGAATTAAACAGTAGCACTAATTGGACTGAAAACTATTGGTTTCATCTATATATTTCCAATCGTTTCTAGGTGCTTACTAAAGTATATTACCCTCACAGAGTACCACTGAAACTTTCCTAGGTGATAATTTCTTCTATAAGGTTTAGTAAAAAGAAGTCCATTATTTGTGCCTTCGTCTCTGGGACCAGCGATTTTCCCAAGGTGAGTCGAATTTTTCACCAGAAAAACATTTGCCAACTGATAGCAATCGCTTTGTGCCGGGTCTGAGCTATAAAGTGGATTTAGCAGAACCTGTCTAGCAAGCTCCCGGAGATTTTCCATAATACAATAGAACAAAATTCCTCTCCTATTGGTGAAAGCTTTCCGTTTCTGGGATATTGCTGCCTTCAGACGGTCCAATTGTTGACGGTACAGGTGGAAATTAGGAGTTTGACAGTGGGAGAACAGCTTTTAGTAGAAATTTCCGGATATTCTCACCAAACTCAAAACAGCAGCGATTTCCATAATTTTATCGATATTTTTCATAATTGGCCTCCCAGTGTATTCACATCATTAGTCACCTGGATTTCTTTTTCTCTGATTTTCTCTTTGTTGGTCTCCATCGTTGACGCGTGCTCAAACTCTACTAAGTCAAGCAATTAGAAAACTGTCTGAAACGTTTTTCTTGGTACGAAATCTTGTTAGCTAGATATTTGGCTAAGGATTCTATGCTATTTTCGGAATTTATAAACAATCCGCTCAAAAGTTTTACCTTTTCTGGCTTAGTTTTGGCCTTCATTCTCTACTTTCCTCTTCTGCCCATGGAGTTTAATTCCACGACCTTTCTGGTGATAGACACACTTTCGACCGATTCAGATTTTGCCATCACATACGATGTATAGGATAACAAGTAGTTTATAAAAGATACTCTAAGACCTTGCTTTGCAAGCGCTGTTCCAAAACAATTCGAAGATCTTCGTTTTTTCCGAAAAATGATTGATTTTTTATTAGAACGGCCTTGAAGAAGTTTCTTTTATATACACATTTAAGAAGTTCGGCATTGACTGATAATGAAGTATTGCGATCTTGCGAAGGTTTAAGCTATAGTGCATAAAACAAAGCAAAATATTATATTATATTACTTGAGAAAATTATAAAATACTCTCATAATTTCTAAGAATTAATAGGCTGTGAAATATTTTCAGGAATTTACAAAACATTGTTTTAAATCTTATTGAAAATGCATGGATTCGGTACATGGAGTGAAGAGGATGTATGGTCCGATATAATACTATAAATTTTCGGCAGTGCATTACACCAATCATTCCTGCTCGATTTTGTTACGATTTCTGAATTATACGACCATATATTTAGAATATTGGGCCACAGGACCACAGGGGCCCCAATTTTGATATTTGATTCTGGAGTTAACTAATATAATACAAAGTTAAGAGAACTGACATGAGCAGTAGTTGTAGTTATGGTCCGATCCGAAGGCATCGCAAAAATACGAAATTCCAAGTGTGGTACTACGCTTATTGCACAATTTAACTGATCCATCGACGATAACTTCAAACAATGAACTATAGTTTTAAAAAGTCATGAGATATGGATTTTTCTACATTAAGTTTTGCCTACTCGGCTGCTTTCTCGTTGCCGAAAATGTTCCTGTGATATGCGTATTCGATATTATGGACAAGTGGAGGTCGGTTCTCAATGATCTTAATGCTTTCCTGCAATTGTAGATTATTCTGTGGCGTCGACATGGCCAGCAATGCCGCAGCTTTCTGTATCCTCTCGTAGTTATTCAATTGAATTGCCTTCTCTATACCTAGTACTCCCGCTTGAAAGGTGCTGGTTGAGTTTTTTAGACAGATAGAAGAAGACTAGATGTCAAGATCATTGGACTATACCCCCCGCCCCTCCGTAGTCCATATTGGTCCCGTCGATATACTTAAAGGTAGTAGCATCCCCGGTATTAAACCTCTTCTCCATTCACGGCTAGATGGTAACCACACTAGTCTCTTCATACTAAGATATATTTAACTATACTTTCATCTCGATTAATTTTAAGTTTTACCGCTAGGTGAATAAAAGCACTCTAGCTTGTGCCACAAGTTGCGAGCGTACACAATCATTTGAACGAAAACCAAATTATTTCAACAGTTGTTACCGCTAGATATAAAAATATTTATCTAACAGCAATCTTACTTTTGGTTTCTTTCCAGTGAAAATTATGAGGCAACCACTTTGAACCACCAAATCTTCCCCGTTGTTCAAAGAAACGAGTCTCTTAACTCAAACACACGAAAATCGTATAAATTACGAATCAGTGAAAATGTGCAAAATCGCGGCATTTACCAAATCTGTTAGAAATACAACAAATACAACTCACACATTAACATTTCTCAAATCCAATTACAAATACAAGCGCAGAGTTCACACAAGCATGACGCATACGCACGCAACGCGAAGAGCTCGCCAACTACAGCGACGCGCTGCAATTGCGGAGGCAGAGGACCGCTGCGCTAATGCCAAAAATACATTAAACAATGCAATTAATCAAATAATCAACGCTAAACGAATTACATGTGAAATTAAATTAATATTTAAATTATTTATTTTTTGCGTCGGCCATCTACTGACGCACACACCTTGCCATACGCGCGACGACAGTCGTCCGCGTGACAGCGTGGCGCTAACGCAGAGACGCCAAGTCGTCGGTGGACGCTTTGATGACACGAGCCATCAACGGCGAAATTATGATAAAGTGTCAAGCAGGCGATGCCAAATCGCGCAGCGTCTCCATCAATGGAGACAAAGACAGATCCGTCAACACGCCAACAGCCAAACTCGGCTAGCGCCGCAGCAGCAGCAGCAGCAGCAACAACAACACGATTTATATGTCAGCAGCTTGGCGTGTAATCAAAGCAGCCGTCGCTGCAGTGACAGCAATTGGCAAGATTTATCGCTGGTGGTCGCGCGGCTGTCAACAAAAGCAACAACAACAACAACAATGCTGCAACGGTGGCACACATCGTCAGTCAGTGCCGGGAATGGACGCATTAATGTGCTCTCAACACTGGCGGCAATATTATTTATGGCATTGGCATTCAATGCGACGCCTCTAGTTGATGGTGAGTAATCAATGTTGTTATTGTTGTTGTGAGAATGCATGTAATTGGCATGTTAGCGCGTACGCGCCTGCGTGCGTGTATGTGTGTCTGCGACGTTACATCTTAATGAGTGACATTGATGTCCTAACTGATTCCCAACCATCATGTCATTTAGGCTAATGTAGACAAATGCCTTAACGAGTACACAGCAAAATGGTTATATGAAATAGAGGTGTGAAAACGGTATTAGAATGGATAAGGAAGGGTTAACTACGACTGGAAACGCGTACTTTATTAACTATCCCCATTAAGTAATTTATATTCGCCTTACAAGGTAAAATCGATGGTCGGATATAAGTGGCTCGTGTGCGTAACTATTTCTCGATAGGTCGTGAGTTCAAATCCTTCCATAACCACTTAGCATTTTTTATTTGTCTTATTTTATTTATTTATATCTTTATATTTTATCGTAAGAGCGGCTCGAACTATTAGTAATGATGCGTCTTGAATTCATGGGTTGTACACTGTTCCTGACGTGGAAGGTCCTGAATGTATTATCTTGTCAACGAAAGCCTGATTAATGATTTATGAGAAGCTTTGCCATGTCCGCAATACTATCCGATACTACTATTGGCATTACTTGTCGATGATCGCTTTCAGAAAAAACTTCTATAATTTTAGATTTGGTTTCTCAGTCGGGATTCGGACAAAAGAACCTAGTTTAGGTTGGTCTCAGTTTAATGAGCCCCCAAATGTTTTAGTCTTGATCTCACAAACGCGGGACAATCAAAAAGGGAGTGTAGAGACGCTTCCATTTCGTCTTCTTCCATACAGCTTCTGCAGCATGACATTTTCAACCTTAAAGCGATAGGGCAATGACCCGTTAGAATCTCTACAACAAGAGAGCGACTAGCCTCACTCAAAGAGCAAAGAGCTTACTGTATCTCTTGAAATCGCTCTTGGGCCAAAAGGATATTGTACCAGGGCAAAACCCGATGGTAGCCCAGCTGTAACGGACAGAGAATAATTTCACTGCAAAGTTGCTTCCATTAGAAAAGCTTAAACATCAATAGTATCGAAACATGCACTGTTTTAAATTCCCTTTAACCTGGAACTAGATGTGGGAATTGCCGTGTTGTAAGCAATGCTAATATTACTCACACAGCCCTTTTGAGCAAATTATTGCCCTGCGACGAACCAGTAATATCTTCACCTCTTTTCCTAAAAACAGCCAAATTCACTTCACATGATCTATCCAATGTAGACAGATCTAAACATTTTGAGTTTATTTTCGGTAATAGCCCCTTCATATGTAATCGCTGAACTAGGAAAATTAACACTACGCTCCATATTTTTCTCGAACACCACAATAGTTAACTCAACAATGGGGATCCTCGCCCATGCGAAAAAGGAAATTGTAAGAAGTTTTGAAGCTGTGGTTTTAATTCCTCAACAAACACAGCCGTGTAAGTTTTGTATGATTCTAGATTTGTTTATAAAACTCGATAGCAAGAGAAATATTATTCCTTTCAATCTCTTGGCCTCGGATTTGATCAATATTTACAGCTCAGTTTGGTTTAACATTTCATAATGAACAGACTTACGAGCCATAATCGTTCAAATTTATTACTAACATACTACTTTACTTTAATGGACAATGTGCATCCTCAGAGATGTCATACTGTCCGCACTGAAGACGTTATTGCTGCTGTGAAGCAGAGTATCGAAGACAACCCGAATAAGTACATCTTCTATGGTGCTTAAGTATTGGATCTGTGCCCATCCCCGATTTTGCAGAAGGATCTTGGTGTGCGGGCTCACAAAATCCAATTCGTGCAAGAATTGAAGCCGAACGACCATCAAGCGAGTCGCAAGTCACAAGAAAATTTTGTTCAGTGTTGAAGCTCACTTTTAGTTGAATTGGTACGTTAATAAACAAAATTGTCACATTTGGAGTGACATTAACCCACAAGTCATTGTTGAGACGCCGACATCCTCTAAAAGTTTCTGTTTGGGTGCATTATGAGCAGAGGGAATCATTGGTCCATATTTCTTCAAAAATGAAGACGGTCATAATATTACCGTCAACGGGAAACGTTATAGAGATATGCTTAATGACTTTTTTGTGCCTTGATTTGAGGATGTTGATGTGGACGACCTTTGGATCCAACAAGACGGGGCTACATGCTTTACAACCAACTTTTGGTGAGCGCATTATGTCGCGTCGTGGGCCTGTGGTATGGGCTCCAAGATCGTGGGACTTAACATAGCTGGGGTATATTTTTGGTGTATTGCGAAGTCGCTTGTCTACTTATCTGCGTAGATGATAGACGTCTTGAATGAATTTTTTATAATATTTGAAGTTATTGCCGACATACGACTCCAATTGTTGCAAAAAGTGGTCGAAAATTTGTCCTCTCGGCTGGAATTTATTCGAAACAGCCGTGGCGGTCACTTAACCGAAATCATTTTTAAAATATAATGGCAAGCCCCTATCTTCATAATAAAGCTAAATTCTTGACTACAACATTAAATTATATACGTTTTATTTCTTCTTGAAAATCACATATGTCAAAAAAATTCCCTTTACACCCTTTACAATCTCAATAACCAAATTATATCTCATTTATTCACAAACTTGACACTGATTTTGGCGACCTATACAAAAGCAACTTTCATGACCGTCATTTCGTCGACACTATGCCCGAATTCATCAAAGACAAAGGCAAACATTCATCCACTTTTAATAGCTGTGGGAAATAAGAATCATTGAAGAATTGTATCAAATCTAGTCATTCAGTCTAAAATTTGTTGATTCCGCGAAATCCAAAACAAATAAATGGCTTATAAAATAAAATTCACCTCATAAAAATTGGCAGACATAAACAAATGAACGAGAATAGAAAATATGTAGAAATAGAAATAGCAATAGGCTTTATGGGTAAGCGTGTTGATTGAAGCATTGGCAAATTCCTTTTACGGCCAACGCAATCGAAATGGACATAAATCTTTAATAAATTATCACGCTAATACAGTTGTTTGTCTGTGTGTGTATATGGATTTGTGGTATATATTTAGCATTTGCATATTTAAATCTTCTGTTTCTGCACTCTATGAGTTTCTACGAAATGAATGGCAGCCGCGCGTGGGAATTAATGACCGCACATGCACGCTTGTTTACGCTCGCCAAGCGCCCCGGCAACTTCTTCGACTGCAAAATCCATAAGTGATTTGTTTATTCAATTTATGAATCAGTTGGCTGTTGCTTTTATTATTGACTTTATTTTTGTATCTACCGCTTATGAGCATATATCTCACACTTGAATTGAAAGCATGACACTGAAATCGGAAGTACGATTTTTACCTGAGTAAACGGTTTGTTAAGCACCATAACAATAATTTGGCGTTTAAAATTATTATTTTTACACTTTCTCAACTTGTTGCACCTATTGGAGTTAGATTATATAGTGCCCTATATATATCAAACAGTTTTAGAATGACTGATTTCCGAATAAAAATGGGATATTATCCACACCCGCCCCGCTTCAGTACTTCCCCTAGCTCCCATAAACCTAATATAATGATGTTCGAACTTCCGTTTGACCTTATATATTGTACATATATCTGTAAATATATAAGTTAGGCTACATTAATGAACCTCACATAGACCAGTTTTAGTTATTTGCGATAGCAGATGGAGTGCCGTTACAAGGTCCATGAGGAGTAGTCAACAGATCCTGTCGCCTCACTAGGGATCCCTCTTCCAGCGTCTCATACCGTGGGGTCCCCAAATGCTTAATACGTTGCCTTACCAATGCGAGACAAGTGCACAAGAGATGGTCCATTGTTTCCCTAGTACCTTGTTCTTACCATTTCCTGCAGTCTTTTCGATCTATCAGCCCCATTCTGCAGGCCTGTGCCGCCACCAGACTGTGACCAGTGAGTATTCCAATCATGTTCCTACAGTTTCTTCCATCGATGCAAGTAAGAACTTTGTATTTTGTATACGACTTTTGTAGTTTTGCACTCAGGTCGATCGTTCTATCGCGTTTTAATCTTCCTTGCAATGCTCCTGCCTAGATCGTTGGATATGCAGAGGTTTACCAATGTCGATCACGTTTTCGGGTGACAGCCGTACACCACTCTTGGGAATCTCGTCCACTATCTCATTGCCTTCGATGCCTTTGTGACTAAATTATAGCAGACCTTGCCCAAAATACCTAGTCGAATATATCCGGACTAGAAAATTTTTGATGAAACTGAGCGAACTTTTTATCTTGATCACTAAGTAAGCGCAAAATATTCCAATAAAATTAAGAGTAAATATTTCGATTAATCATTCGGTAGTAAAAATTAGTAACAACTATATTCTCCGAGCACTGATATGATTATGGATTCTATTAGTTACTTTGATTTTAATATAAAGTAAATTGTTGTCTAAGGGAAACCATGACCTACTAAGAAGTCAAATATAATTGCAGTCGATTCACAATTTGGTCAAATAAAAATAATACATTTTTAAATCATACACAAAATGTTTTAATTTATAGTTTTGCCAACACCTGAATTATTTCCTCGCGTTTGTCTCGTGTTCGGTTACATGCAAAGTTGATTCTTCTTTATCTGTTTCATAATATGGCTTATCAGACATCTCCAAGTTCTTTGCTCGTCTTTATTGCTACTTAGCCCTTTTAGCTTTTAGCTTTTTTATTTTTCATTTTCTGTTGTCATTCATTGTTTTTACCTCCTAATCTATCTATTTAATTTTTTAGCCGGCGCCTGCTGGCGTTCGTCACAAAGTAATGGCAAATGTAGCGAGATTTACTTGAGGAACAGCACCAAAGCCGAGTGTTGTCGCTATCCGGAGCTTTTCTACACGGATCGTGACGTTACCGATGTAGAGTTCTTCTTCACAACAACCGTTGGCGATGGAATGACTTGCTCACCTTGTGCTCGTAAGTAATTTTGCTCGGACTATTGTTCACTTTTAGATCTATACTCATAGATTTATATTATTCTATGGTATTCGATAACTTTTATCTATAGAAACCTATTCTTACCTCTCCCTCCAAATATAGTTAGCTGCAAGAGCATGCAATGCGGTTGGAATAAGAAGTGTGTAAAGCGCAAGGGCCGTCCAAAGTGTGTCTGCGCTCCGGAGTGTGGAGCGGCCAAGCGACACAAGCAACGTGGCCAACCGAAGATTTACCGTGGACACGAACCACACAACGAACAGTTACGAATGAATAGGCACATCACCGCTGGCGCATTCGGTGCCGGTGCTGGTGGTGAAGAAGCCGTTGAAGGCGACAGCGCTGCCGCGTTCTTCAACGAAGGCAAGTCGCCACGCGACATACGTAGTTTAAGTAGCGAAATTACAAATGTTAATTTAGGTGTTGAACACCAAATGCAAATACAAAATCAAAACCAAAGAAAATTGATTATAATGCAAAGTCAAAGCCAACAGAAGCCTCAGTTAAATAGACGTGTAGAGAAACCGGGAAGACTTTTAATAACGGCCAATGTCGAACATGACACAGAGAAACCCGTCCAACAGCGTATACAGATTATTAGTAATGTAAGAATGAATAGCCGAAAACATCACAACCACTTTAGTCGTGATAATTTCGATGATGAATTCAACGACGGAGAGGATGAAGACGAAGCTAACGAAGACGACGAAGACAACGGTGAAGATGATGGTGATGCTACTGCTGCTGACGATGCTGTTGCGAATAATGACGACGATGATGATTTGGACGATTGGTTGGATGACGTCGTTGGCGCAGAATCGACAGGCAATCATCGGCGTAGTAGCGATGATTCAACAAGAACACCGTTGGAGTCACGAAGAAGCTACCATTTGCCGTCTAGACATAAGGCAAATAAAAATTCAAATCACAACAAGAAGCGGAGACAACATGAAAATGAAATGGAGCTCAGCAAGCGCCAGCAGGAGAACAGCAACAACAACAATTTCGCCATAATAAAACGTTTTCCACCGGTAGCATCCAGCGCGTCAAACGCCAGACGGCTCGAGAACGTTTTAAATCACGAGGAGGTGTTGCCACCAGCAGGCGATACAGTGAATGTTAATAGCGCCAGCAATGGAAACAACAACAACTACAACGGCAATAAAGGCAAAGGTAAGCACAGCATTGACGGCGGTAGACAACGTGAACGTCATCACCATCAGCAACGCAAACGCAAACATCAGAAACAACAACAACAACATCAACAGCAACAACATCAGAGTAGCCATCAGCACAATCACCGCGCACATAAGAAGCACAAGAAGCTAAAGGATCACAATGCTAACAACAATGACAACAATGTGCGCACGCGTACCTCGTCTTCAACATCCTCGCTGGCCGCGCACAACGATAACATACCGATGGCAACTGCAACGGCAGCAACAACAACGGCAACGCAAACGCCCATAGTATCAACAACAATGGAGTGGCAGACAACAGCTGCTACCACTCCCGTAAATTCCATGTCGCCGTCTGATGATCATCGTTTATTAAATCACGGAAGTCATATTGCAAAATCATCGCCGTCGACGGCAATGAAAAGGCATAAAACCGGCGCAACGTCTGAGGCATTTTTCGGTGCTGATGCTGTTGGTGCTGGCGATGGAGGTGTTGCCGCTGACGTTGGCAAATCATCTCTTAATTCAGATGACTCGACACTACTCGATGGTATATACGACGATTTCAATGTCTACGGATTCCCGAATCGCCAATTTGAAGTAGCGGTGAGTTTCACCTGAATCGATCTTTTTCTTTTATTATTTTTGTATTTGATTGTCTAATGAATTTTTTGTCGCGTGTTCAATGCTGTTGTTCTTCGCTTAATTTCGTTGAGTCCGAAAGGTAGTACGATATTTGAACTCCACTGGTGTAAGTGGCGTCATTTGGAAGAATTTTTTTTTAATTTGAAAGTGTTTTGCATTAAAAATATTTTATTTGGTGAATTTGGTGACTATGTAATCAAGCTTTATCTTAATCTATATAATTTTAGCATTTTCAGTCGAAATTTTAAAATATCGATACAGCTATTCGCGGCCTAAGCGTTCGTTCGACTGTGTCTGAGCGAATTGCGATTTTTGCTAATCCGTTGTGTCCTAGCTTAAAATTATTTCGTCAGTCTTAAAATTATTTATACAGTCTTAATCGATCGATTCGGGCGCCATCTAGTGGGATTTTATTATACCTATGGCATTCGAACTTAACCTAGCAAACCTTAATATGTAAAACTTTTTTTTATAAATTATTGTAGAATATATGTAATATGGCTACTGCTACTACTACATTGCTTTGTAGAAAATTTAACCACCTTTCTGGCAATTTGTGCTGCGAAGAAGTGCTGCTTAGCCAATGCGTGTCCCATCGATGAAAACAAATGGCAATCGGAAGGGGCCCAAGTCTGGTGAATACGGCGGGTGGGGTTACAGCTAGCTACAGTTACCTAGCCAAGTATGAACATTATCGTGTAACAAAATTTGGCGAGTCTTCTGGCCCATTCTGGTCGTTTTTCGATCAATGCATGGTTCAAATTGATCATTTGTTGTCTGTAGCGATTAGTATTAACACCCTTCTGATCCCACCAAACAGAGCATTGCCTTCTTATCGAATCGATCTGTTTTTGCAGTCGATGTTGATAATTGCCCCGGATTAACCCCTGATTTTCTGCGTTTGGGATTCTTAAGACAAATACATTTTTCTTCGCCAGTAACAATTCGATGCAAAACTGTTTTTTCCTTCCGTGTTTTTGAAGCGAAATTTCACAATAATTTTTTTGATTTTCCATTTGTCCTTCATTCAATTCATGTTTGATCCACACTTTTGGATATTTCCCATAGCTTTCAAACGGTCTGAAATTGTTTGATATGCCGCATTTACCATGGCTGCCATTTGCTTTTGACTCAAAGTATTATCTTCATCCAATATTGCTTGAAGTTCGGCGTCTTCTTCATTTCTCACATCAAAATCATTATCTCTGAACTGTTGAAACCATCTTTTGCATGTGGCTCCTGATAGATCATGATTACCATATGCATCGACAAGCATTTGATGCGACTTTGCAGCACTTTTCTTCAAATGGGGAATAAAAATTAATTCTTTCCGCAAGTCATCACTTTCCGGTATAAAATTTGACATTTTCAACACAATGAAAAAGTATGATGTTGTTTGTTCAATGACTATAAGATTATTGAATATGTTTGACAGATGTCATGCCAACTAAACAGAAAAAAAATTAAGGCTCGTTCACAACAAATGTTCCCTACCAACACATTTATTTGTTAACGCTCACTTTATACAAGCTACTTATTATTATATCCTGAACAAGATATATTAAGTTTGCCACGATTTTTATAACACTCAAAAAGAAACGCCGAAGACCTTATAACATACCATATATGGTATATCTAAATGATCAGTGTGATTAGCTGAGCCAAGCCGCGCGTATATACGCGAACCAGTGCTTAAATTTTTGAGATAACGATCTGAAATTTTGAAAACGTTCTTTTCTCACCAAGCAACAGCTTGTTCATTTGTCGAAACCGTTGATATCTGACCTCTATAGGATATAGCTGCCATAAAAACTGAACGATCGGAATCAAGTGCTTGTATGGACAATTTTTTCATTTGACGAGATATTTTCACAAAATTTGGCAGTGGTTATTGCTTAAAGCAATAGTGTAATCTCCGAAGAAATTCTCAGATCGGATCACTATAGCATATAGCTGCCATACAAACTGACCGATCAAAGTTCTTGTGGTCCTTGAACCCCGTGTATCTGTGAAGAGTATAACAAATAGCTTCGGTACAACCGAAGTTAACATTTTTCTTTTTTTGTTTTTTAAATTCACTCTCAATGATATTACAGAATGCTATCTTTATACCTTTAATAATTAAAATAATAGAAATGTTGATTTAGTTTTAGAGGACACTACTAAAGTGATAATTCTACCTAAACCGACCCAATTCTAAATAATTTACTAAAAGTAAGTTATTTAAAGAAAAGCTTCATATATACACAATTATTTGTCTAGCTCTATTTGATCTGACCTCGTATAAACAACACGTTTAGTAGACCTCTTAATTGGTAATCTGGCAGCTCCAATTAAAAGATACCTATTTCCAAAGCTTACGAGAAAATGTATGGACATGCGCCACTGGAGTGAAGAACATAGTGATATAATAATTCTAATGATCTCTATTATCAGATTTACATGGATTAGAATTACAAAAAATTTATTCTTAATAGTTTAATTTTCGACATATTTTCAATAGGTAGATAATTTCCATGGCCCTCATCCGGTTTGTGGCACTGATGGTCGCACTTACAACACGGAATGTCAATTGAAGAAACGCGCTTGCCGCACCAATAATCCAATACTGGCGGTTGCATATCGAGGACATTGTCGAAGTGAGTATCATTTTTAATGTTTCTTTTTATTAAAAAACAAGAAAATCTTTATTAGTTTATGAAAAAAAATATTTGCACCGAGTTTATACATTTGATCCGATTAATGTTGGGCATCACACCATTCCACCACTAATTCTCCACATAACAAGCATAACTTTATACTAACGCCTACGTGATCTGGAATTAGTTTCACGAGTTGCCATGAACTCGTACATATATAATACCTTTATATATTTTTCGTTAAATTGAAGGTTTTTTTAGCATAGTTAGAATAAACCGATTTAGATGAAATATGCACCATTTTATTTAATAACTTGTTTGACGGAAATTTCATAATGCCACTCGTCCCTAGAACATTCGATTTTGTGGCGACTTTTTCATCGGAAAAATCATTAATGGTGGACAGGAACAGGTAGTAATCCATTGGTACCAAGTCCGGACTATTAAGTAGATGCATAAGAACCTCCAAGCTGCCGGAGCTTTTGGCCGTCACTATCGATGTGTGTGCATTGTCCTCATGAAACAAAATTTTTCTGCTATTGGTCAAAGCTGGCCGCTTCTGAGCTAACATTACAGGTCCGCATTAAGAGGCCGTAGGAGAGCAGCTCGTAGTATATGGGTCCTTGTCAACCCGACCAAACACATAGAAAAACCTTCTTGACCATCAATACTGCCTTAGCCATCGCGATTGGACCATCACCGGTTTCTTTTGACGATTTCGCAATGTTCCATCACCAGTAACCAAACGTTTCAGAAATAGATCGATCTGCGTGCGATCCAGCAGGGATTCGGAGATGGAAATTCGGTCCATGAGTTTTTTTTTTTGGCGTTGACTTATTTGGACCCATACATCGATTTTTGTTTTGTATTCAGCATTATTTAAATAGATCCAAAATGATTTTTGTCAAGTCTGAGTCAAACTGTCTGAGAAGTTTTTTAGAACGAAATCTTAGACTTCCTCACAAAGTTTATTTTATTGGAGCACCAATTTTTATACCCTGAACAGGGTATATTAAGTTTGCCACGAAATTTGTAACACCCAGAAGGAAACGTCGGAGACCCTATAAAATATATACATAAATGATCAGCATGATGCGCTGAGTTGATTTAGCCATGTCCGTCTGTCTGTCTGTCTGTCCGTCTGTCCGACTGTCTGTATATATACTATCGATCTGAAATTTTGCACCTGTCCTTTTCTAATAAAGAAGCTGTTCATTTGTCGGAACGGCCGATATCGGACCACTATAGCATATAGCTGCCATACAAACTGAACAATCGGAATCAAGTGTTTGTATGGAAAACTCTTTCATTTGACGAGGTATCTTCATGAAATTTGGCGTGTATTATTATTTAAGGTACTAATCCAATCCTCGAAGAAATTGTATAGATCGGATGACTATAGCATATAACTGCCATATTAACTGAACGATCGGAGTAAAGTGCTTGCATGGAAATTTTTTTTTATTTGACGAGGTATCTTCACGAAATTAGGCACTAGTTATTGCTTAAGGCAACAAATTATTCTCCACAGAAATTGGTCAGATCAGATCACTATATCATATAGCTGCCATACAAATTGAACGTTCGGAATCAAGTTCTTGTAAGGGGCCTTTGTATTTGTGAAGGGTATTATAGCTTCGGCGCAACCGAAGTTAAGTTTTTTCTTGTTTTAAGTAAAGTGAAAATTGATTTAAATCGCAAATATCGATAACGAAAGATGTAAGTTAACTGTTTCTTTTTTCCGAAAGAGCTCGTCAGTAATCGCTACTTTTAGATAGTTGGTAAGTTTTATATTTTCCAGAATCGATTAAGACATTAACGCAACGCGCCTTGATCCGCATATCTTGACCTTGGACCAGTTTGATTTCTAAAGTATGGTAACCTGTATGAAAGAGCTATAGAGTATGGGTTTCATTTAACAAAGAAATAATTTTAACTTTCTATTATAAGATTTTGAAGATCTAGATAAGTTAACTAATGAAACAGCAAGACATTATTTAACTAGAACTAAAAAATTCCTCTGTAAATATTTTAGATTGGTTAAGTTAGGTTAGGTATAGAAACTAATCCTCGCGGCGGAGATCAGTGGCGCACTTTTGGTTAGTTGTATAGCTACTAAAGACTAAGATCACTGGAGTGAAGCTTTTTGGGTAAGACTTTTGAATGCTTTGAGGCAATATAGGGAAAATGTTTTCAAACAGTGATCGTACCTCGAAAGATAATGTCTATGTAAATCGTTTATATAGTCGACGACGAACGAAGTGCGGGACTGCATTGATCGTGCACCTGGCAATAGCATCGTGGCAAATCCGTTGTGAGTCAAAGAAAAACGGGAAACGCGAATGGTCGTTGAATACATAAAAACAACAAAAATAAACATTTGCAGCATGTGCGTGTGTGTGTTAGTGCCGGTAATCGTTGCCCGCTCGCATATCTGAGCATACATTTGCATATGTTTATACGGCAGGAAGCCATCCGGCGACGGCCGGTGTGCGCTCAAATCGGTAATAAAGATAATCCGAGTCGAGTCTGTAATTTTCCGATGGAAAAATACTTGTTGCACTCTGATTGAATCTGAAAGCGACGCAACGCGTTTCAAGCGCTTGGCAAACATACATTTATGATGGCAACAACGCGTGCCTTAAATGTTGCAGCAACAACTTAACAACGACAATAACAACAGTGCAAGCAATAGCTGGCAATTTTTGCTATTGTTGTTGCTGTTATTATTATTGCCGCCACAACTAATGACGCTGACGCTGACTATTGCCACGAGCCATAGCAACAATAAAACACATCAGCAGCAACAACAACGCTGCTTGTGAACACTGTCGCCAGCACGACCAATCGACCAACTGGCAACAGAAATCGGCCAAAGACTGCAACAACAAATCGCGAATGCCACTTGTGGCTTGTCCAACACCCGTTCGCGGCCGTCGCCCGCCCTCGGTCGTCGGTTGTTGGTTGTCTGTGATGCGTAAAATAATTTCATGAAAAATTATATTGCAATTTTGTTGGTGTCACAGATGGCGCCAAGGCGTTGCCGCTTCGCTGCAATGTTCAATGATAAATTTGACAGTTTATTAGTTGCAAACGAGTGATTCGCTGGTTATACTAGTTGTTCATGTTGCTATTGTTGTTTTACTTATATTTTTTCTTAATTTTTGTTAACTCTTCGCCATCTGCATTGAATTGGCGCTAATGTTGTTGTTATATGATTCAATTTGGTTCGATGGCTGGTTGAGCATGGCAAAACAAACTAAAAGCAAAACTTGTGTGCCTATTTTTAGAACTCACTTTCAAGCGCAATTTGTTGTTGTTGATTCTGCAGCTGGTTGCTTATTGCCTTCAAATATTTTTGTAAATCAGCCATACTATATACAAACGTAGAGAGCAATTAGAGCTACTGAAAACTTTTACATGGGCCCCGAAGGCCTGAAAATTTCATCTGTACTGCCCAAATCGGGCTTGAGGCATTATACCGTTATTTTTGAAACCTATAAATATGAAGGTAAAGAATAAAAACTTTTCCTCAACTCTTTTTAAGCCCACGGCTTCAATGCTTGCACGAGCTCGATTCTGTTAGCCCGCAAACTTAGATACTTCCGCAAAATGTTCCTTAAAGTGGACGGACTCATTCGGGTCTTCTTCGATACTCTGCTCTGCAGCAGCAATAGCATCTTCTGTGCGCACTGTGCGTCGTCTCTGAGGATGCGCTTTATTCACGCGCGCGAATCGAATCGTTATTCTGGAGTAAGTCTGTTCATTAATGAAATGAAATGGCAAACCAAACTGCGTATAAATGGAGTAACAGCTCTCAAAGGGATCAACTCTGAAAAAAGTATTGCCTCATTGAAAACCACATGTCTAAAAAACAGAACAATATTTTAAAGTCGCTGAATTCCACAGTACCTTCGCCTTCGATTAAAAATACAAATAAAAAACAATACATTTCAAGTCTTCCTTCAGCGGAACTTATATGAGATATATTTTAAATGCAGATGTCAAAGCCGGTTTGTTGCTGTATGCATCTATACCATCTGATCAACTTTGACCCGGGCTGGTCCATTCAAACTGCGCACCTGAATCGAAGTTATAAACAAAATTTCCTAGATTGGTACAATCCTTTTTTATGGTCGTGTTAAGTTTAATATTCATATGCCAACTATTGTGTGTTTAATTATATTATATTATTATATCGCTCGATGGCGGCTGAAAACCAAGAAATAGTATGAAAGTGTTACCCGAAGCCTGCGCCAACGATATGACCATTCGTGTATGGCTAGCTAAATTCTGCACAGTCAATATGTGCAACGAAGACGAGGAGCCCAGTTGATGACCAAAAGAGACTGTTGGGGACAAAAACATAAAACAACCACAAAAGCACTTTCAATGACAATAAAACAACAAAAATTTAAGCTAAAAAACAACGAATTGATGATTTGAACTCAAATTTTTTTATCGATAAGTGACAATAAATGAAGCATGCCTCCCTCATTTCATTCTGGAATCAAATCATTCGAGTGGATTCAGATGTTAGCTATAATCGGTTTATAGCCCTCGACAGCAAATACCATCTGACCAAATTTAACTTGTCCAATTAAACAGCACGCAAAACCGAATTATTAAAAAATACCTAGTATCCCAGATTCTTACAACATTTTTTACGTTCCTGTGAAGTTTAATCTCCATAGGTCATTTAGTGTGAGTTTGCCCGAAATTTTGTGTTTCCAATGAAATCACGTCTACAGAATAATTGAAAATCCAACAGAAGTGATTTGGGGTGTCTACTTTAGCACGTGCACAAGTATTTGAGAGGTACAAAGCATTCAGTGAAGGTAGTGAAGTCATCGAAAACTTGTCTCATGCGAGTCGTCCGTCCATCTCTGTTAATGACGATCGTATGATAAGTTAAAGAAACAATGCTTGAAAAATAGCAGAGGATTTCAACATTTCTTATGGATCAGCTCAATACATTTTGGTTAATGTCTTGGGTATGAACCCTGTAAGTGCTAGACTCATATCAAAAGACCTGAATCTTTTACAAAAACGACGTGGAGACTGGAGGTCGCTAAAGAGATGCTTGACAACGTAGCTGACGAGACGTGGGTTTACAGAAAACTCAAAAATTGCTGAAGGCACAGAATGTATAGAAAATTTAATTAAGCGTTTACATGTTTATATTGCCTCAGAAGTGAATTTAAAAATTAAATTTAAAATTTTATTCTTTTGCCACTCCAGGTCAAATTTGATCATATGTTGAACAATAAAACTGAATTATCCCAAAAAATGGTTAACTCTTTAAAACGTTAAGACTTTTTAGTTTATCTGGTATTGACTGAGTAAAGTGAAAAATAAGAACCAGTGAAACAAAACTTCTCCGCTGACTGCTTAAGAACTCATTATATTGAAATACTTGTTTTTTTTTCTTTTAAGGTAGTTTTTTAGTTATTTTAATATCAGATTTTATATTACCTTAATTACTTTTAAAAATCAAAATCAAAACTTTCCTTTTTGCTTTCCAGCTTCATGCAACGGCGTGAAATGCCTCAACGGCCACACATGCGTCGAAGATCAATACACAATACCCCACTGTATTGCTTGTAAAATTGATTGCCCCGAAGATGATGCAGCCGCCATTGCAGCGCTGCCAATCGATCCGACACGCGCAGTCTGCGGTGTGGATGGGAAGACATATCGTAGTGTTTGTGATATAAACCGAATGATTTGCAAAAGTGGACGTTCAATTGCCGTTGCATATCCGGGACCATGTCGAGGTAAGTGACAATAATCGATTTTATAATTATTACAAACGTGGATGTGGACATTTTCCTTTCGTTGATTATTTGAAGCAGCACTACCAACTGTAGAATTTAGCTGCGACACAAACTGATCGATCAAACACAAGTCTTTTTATAGAAATCTTTTTTATTTGATAATATATCGTCACGAAATTTGTCACAGATTATCTAAGACATCGCTACATTCTTCCAACCTGCAGATTGATTGAAAAGTTTCTGCGCTCAAAATTTACGAAATATATATTTTGATTCAACAAAATCTCCCTTAACTTCAATACACTTATTCCAATTTTCCACCAATAATTTTATGACATCCCATATAAGACAGCGGAAGCTCTGCAAAATACCCGTATACGGCTGTAATAGCTTCTTCATGCGACGAAAGACGCTTTGCACGAAGGAACTGTTTCAGGTTTCTAAAGAGACTCTAATTTGTTGAATTTTGTCATAGTTACCTTGTGTGAGCAGGTGCATTGTCTTGATGAAAAATTATTTTTTTGTGCTGAAAACCAGATCTTTTCTCAAAAATGTTTTCAATTAGCTAATCCAAAATACTGCAATAATTATTCAGATTGCTTTACCTTTATGCAGATAATCAATGATCAAAATTCCTTTTGCATCCCAAAAACTCATTAATAACCGTCTTTGCTGATAGTTGTTACTTCTCATGCTTGGGAGCTAAACAACCAGCTTCAGTCCACTTTAAACGTTCTTGTTTCAATTTAGGATCATGGTCAAGTCTCATCCATTGTTATCTGGTAGATTCAAGTCTCATCCATTGTTATAAAACGACGCAAAAAATCGGTTTTATTCTGCTTAAAACGCTTAAAATTATGCTGAGAAATTTGTTTTCGATCCAGTTATTGCTGAATTGTTAACGTGTGCGGCACTAAATTTCCAAATAGCTTTTTCCTATGTGATTCTCCATGTAAAATATGAAGTACTCGTTCGTCTGAGATGCTTATGGCATCAGCAATTTCACGCTTAGTCAAACTTGGATCTTGACTAACAATATTATGAACTTGCTCAATGATTTATGGTGTGGTTGCGGTTTCACCCCAAAATTCAACGGAGCGTTTTGCAGGTAAGGACTCCTTATACACTTCTAACAATTGTTCATAACTTTCCTTTGTTTTTAAACCTTTTAACACAAAGAATTCAATCACTGCGAGAATTCAATTTTTCAATACTAAAAAAATACCATGACAAATGGCTTGTAAACAAAGAACTAATTGACAGAATGACTTGAAAAAAAAATTTGGAGCTAATAGTGCTATTTCTTTGTGAAAATAGAAACTTTTCAACCAACCTGTATAGCTGCCATTAAAACTGCCCAACCAAATCAAGATAAAGAACTTTTCATACCCTTTTATGCTCAAAAAAATACACCTGTGAAGGGAATTAGAAGGTATTGGTGCAGCCGAAGTCAACGTTTTTTTTTTTGTTTTTTGTTATGAAAAAGTTTATCTAAAATCCATCAACGATTCGGGGTCGAATTAAAAAAATTGTAGGTCAAGCCATTTGTTAGATAATACCAAGGCGTTAATCAAGATAAAGAGAAGCAGCTCGACTAAGCGTTTAACAGAAATTTAGAAGGAAAAGATATATGTGCTTTAATATAAATATAACAGGACACAACATACCACGAAGGATTTGAAGTCGTGATCAATCAAAATTGACGAATAAAGCGTAGCATGAACTTCCGAAAATATTAGGGAAAATCATAAAAATATTATAAAAACTTGTATGCTATTTTCACTCTAGACCCGGTACGGTTAGGACATACAATTTGATTACTTGCCACTTGCAACATGCAGAAGCAAGTAAATTGAATTTCAAAATAACAATATAATCAACGAATTAGATCATAATTCCTTGTCTAAAATCAAAATATGGCAAATAGATTCGATTATAGATATAAATACACACACCTATACACATGCACATGCGTTTCTATCATCATTTTGTGTGCCACATGTAACACAATATTAAATTAATTGAAAAATTCGCCACCGCGCCGCCGCCAACGCCGCATCAGCAGCCGCAATTGCCACAGCGTAACACGGTAATCACTACTAAACTATTTTTATGCGTGTACGAATGTGCGCTTTGTTGTTGTTGTTGCTGTTGTAGCTCTTTCAATTACCTGACCAATATTTGCGGCTGCATAGTTAACACAAGACTGACTGCGCTGCCGCACAGCGCATTTGAATGCAAAATCGAAAGCATAAAAAAGAACATACAACAACAAGACCAAGCAGCACCACTGTCATTGTGGCAATAACACATCGGTAGCAACACACACACATACATACATATGTACGTGACACTCAACCGCATTTTTGCATTTGATTGAGTCTCAAAGTATCTGCACATGCACACGCACACGCACACACATACATATGTATATAAACGCACTGGCACAACGAGAGCCAGCAACAATTGCCGATTTGCAGATTGAATTTCCCGTAGTCGGCACAAATTGATTGCCGATGTCGCATTGTTGCCACAATTGCTTGTTGGTGCCTGTTGCTGGTGTTGTTGTTGTCGGCTTATTGCTATTGTTGTTGTTATTGCCAATGATGCATAGCATACCAGTATGGCATCTGTTTGGGGTGAAAAGCACACAGTACAATGACCACATTAACTAAAATCGTCTATGCACTGTTGTTGTTGTTGTTGTTGTTGTTGCTACATATTGTTGCAATGCCTGCTGTGGTATGTTGCCGCCGCAACTAAAACCGCCGCTGCTGCTGCTGCTGCTGCGCCATGACGGTTTGTGTTGCAATAACTTTGCTGTCACAATGCTGCCACACAGTGTTGCTGTTTTTGCAACTACTACTATTGCTTGGCTGGTTGATTGGTTTGATCCGATGCCATGTGACATGCTGTTCGCCACAATCAACAATCACCGGCACAGCGCTGCACCGCAATCTACTTAGCGCTAGCCGCGCTCTATTCTACTTTGCTCGCTGCAGCGAGCGTGTGGTGACTTTGTTTGTGGCTTCTGTGCGATTATCTTACTGAATTACAGAATAAATCGTGTTTACAATGTGGCCGGGAATGGAAATTTGTTACTCGGGTTTCACAATTAATTACATTGCAATTGCTCGTTATTGCTTGACAATTTTATTGCCGATCAGTTTACATATCCACATATGTACCTATGTATGGGCGTGTGTGCGTGTGTTGCAATATGAAATTATGCACTTAGAAGACTTGTGATTGTGAAAAATTACTGGTCGCTTGATTAGTTGGCATTAGAGTCGGCTTGCAAATGCTAAGCTCAATTAGCAGCACAGTGGCGAGAGGGGGGCTCCAGCTTGCTTTCAACCGAAGATCTGCTTAAGTTGGTTGTGCGCTTGTAGTCTCCTGCGCTAGAATGGCAGGTTTGGCTTCAGTAGCTGCAATCACTGAAGAAGCTTACACACCAGCAATCTACATTGTTGTAGTGGCACGGCTGAGAAAGGGGTAAAGATAATGTAGAAAAGTAAGGAAAACTTGACGTAAGATCGTATTATAGAATTACACAAATATATTATTGTATATATACACAATATAGCAGAATATTGATCTCCGACTTACTCAGAAAACACAATTCTGTACTAACCGTTTTGCTTAAAACCATGGTCAGCAGAATCAGAGTGTCTGCGGAGCTATTTTTAAAACAGTCGGATGAGACCTAGCAAATCAAAAGGAACTCGCAATCGCTGACTTTTGCTTTATAATAAAGCCCAGGTCTTTTACCGCTTGAAGATTATGAGCACTGCATTTACATTAGGAAGCGATCTCGTATTCCTTAATCGATCAGTGTATATCTGATCTTGACATATAACTGTTCAAAAAATAACAACATAAAATAAACTTTATGTGGACTTTTTTTTCTGATCAACAAAAGTATAAATCATTCCAGACTATAAAAATTAAGGAAGAGAAATGCATATTGCCTAATAACTAAAAGAAAGAGCTTCTAAACCATTGCACTCTTATACCGGTAAGAGCGTGACCTCTAGATACAAATATCGCAGTCCACTTTAAGCAAAAGTCTCCACCTCTTCTTACGCGTTTATTATTATTAAAAATAAATACTTATGTAACGTTGATTTCGTATGGATCTTACCTATGTTAATTCTTTCGATTCGTAGAGCTCAAATTAATATATTAATTTCAGCTTATCCACCGCCCGCAAGCGTCTTGCTCTGTCCTACCGACCAAGTTTAGATAACGTCCAGACGTTATGCGGAATTGAATCATCGGTGAATCGAAACTTCTGATAAGCGATCAACCAGGTTTATATCCGTTTCTACAGCTAAAAAGAGAGTTACACTTTGTTGTATCTAAATATAGTACCTCTTCAAAATTGCTGTACAAAATTGTATTGAGTATTACTAGAACCCCCAATAGAATTGGAACGAAGGAGTTCCGAGCTTACGAAAATAATCGAAAGCCGCTCTGTATCTTGAGCTTTGTCAAATATACACAAAGTAAGCGTTTTTATTCAACCGCTGGATATTTGATCGATCGGATCGAGTGGATCCGATGGTTAACGAGGTCAAAACGAAATAGATTTGGGGCTTCTATAGCTTCACAAGTTGTCCACAATTTTTGGTATTGGTTATACACATTTTTGTAAAGCCTAAGTTATAATCTGATGCGGACCTTAAAAATATGGTTTCTACAATATCCACGACATCATTGACAGACCTTAAATGCAGTCTAAGTCACGATACAAGAAAAGGCACGAGAGCTTTAGCTCTCTTTTTCTTAATATAGCGATAGAAATGTAGCGACATAAGTGCGGTTCGAAAGGTTTGTTAGAGAACATAGGAGTTTAGAGACTTGATAAAAAGTTCTTAGACGTTTTTAAATCAAATTAAGAAGTTTCTGTGTTCGCTCGATCAACGATTCTACATAACCGGATCGGAGTCGTTTTTAAACCTCTTCAAAAACTGTCGCCTTAATAAGATATCTTTAAC